ATCGAGTTAGTCTGGGTCTTCACTCCAGATCTGTTTGCCCTGGGAGACCCTACCAGGAGTGTATTGCTCCCGACGACTTAGCTCTGAAGATCTCTAGACCACACAAGCCTTTCCACCATGGCAAGGCCCTGATCCAGGAAGGGAACTTTTGCTATCCGCCACTGCATTAAGCCTTCGCTTTGTTATTAACGCACCACTGTTTGAATTTGAATCTCCAGTTGCAGTTAAAAGATGTAACTAACTGAGGATGTGTAAAAATGAGACACATCCATCACATACCCATAGAGTATGTTATGTTCTACTCATCTAAGATGGAATAAATGTTGCTTTTATCAGTTTTCTGTGAATTTGGTTCTTACAATGCTCTTTTACCACAAAGGTTGAAATGGGCTTTGTAAAAACCAGTTCAAAAGTCCAACATTAAGTTACTTCATAAACATTTTTCATGCCTGTTGTGCGAATATGCACATCTCACTTGTCTGTCTTTTATCTCAGTCATTTCATCTTCTTTAGGACCACACATTTGTAAACTGAATATACCAAGTTGTATCTATACCCACTTTTTAGCAGGCCTACCCAAAAATATATTTCTGCCAACGCCACTGGATCAAACAATAGACAACACTTGTCATAGACCTTGGTTGTTTTGGTGATGTTGATGGTTTTGCAGAGTAAACATTACCACACCTACTGAAGCATCATGTGACAGACTGGACATAGTCCAGCTATAACACATAAGAGCTCAGTTTCAAGTTCAGGATGTGTTTATATTTTTATATTACTGTATTCATATAGTTTTAACTGAATACAACTTTTCAAAAGTCAGTTTTGATAAATTCAGTGGATTTGTCATGTTCAGTATCAGTTAACAAACTGTTTTTGAACTAAAAGCTATTGGTGAGGCTGAAACTGGCTTCCTATTTGCCAGCTTCTTATTCAAATTTCTGCTCCATCTTAAATGGTGCAGCAGTCACAGGTGCCACACTGTAACTGTGGCACCATTTAAGATAGAATGGAAAATCTGAGAAAAGAAACTGGCGGACTTCAGCTTCATTTGGGAACTGATTGCCTTCTGAGTGCAGATTTCAAATCGAATTTCAAACTATGGCTTTCAGTGGTTCGGTTCTGGGTTTATGTATGTTGCTCCAAAATGTGTAGAGTTAATGGTGTTTCCACAGATGTGCAGGTTCCCTACTAATACCCCCTACATCATCACAGATGCTGGATTTTGAACTTTACACTGGTAACAATCTAGATGGCCCGGAGAACACAATGTCCATTATTTCCATAAACAATCTGAAAGATAGACTTATCAGAACAAAATTCACATTTCCACTGAGCATCAGTCCAATTCAGATGAGCTTGAGTCCAGACAATTCAGCAGTGTTCCTGGATGCTGTTGACGTGTGACTTCCACTGTGCTTAGTACAATCTTAACTTTCTTCTGTGGATGCAGTGATGAATTGTGTTTATTGATAACAGTTTGTCAAAATATGCCCAAACCCATGTGGTGATCTCCTTCACAGAAACATGCCAGTTTTAACACAGTGCCTTCTGAGGGTCTAATGAAAACGCATTACACTTAGACAATCACAAAAAAAAACTTTTGCATACAACTGTGTCTGCTGCTTTCTCTTCACAAGAAATGTTTACAAATCTAATTTGAGCCACCTTTAAATATCAATAGGAAAAAATTAGACACATTTCCAGACTCATAAATCTAGACAGACAAATATAATATTCTTCACTCTGTGTTTACTTCTGTTCTTCTGAGTTTTTACATTTTCTTTACAGAGAGATTTGCTCATTCAATGGATATTATACGTCCAACTATGGGTAATATTTTTTATTTATTTATTTTTTTAACTTAGATGTTGAAAATGAAGTAATGCCATTGATTTATTGTCATTATGTTTACAACTAATTAGTTAACGTTTTTTTTTTTTTTTTATGAAAATGATCTAGTTGTGCCATATTTGTAATTGGTTGAATCAGCCTGTTTTCTTGTTCTTTCTCAGCTGAAGATACTGATGATGGTCAGGACAGATGGACTCAGATTGCTGGAGGGACCACAGCTGGAGGTGAGAAGATCGCCTGTTCATGAAGCAAACATCCACTAAGCACTGAATCCACCTGGTCCTTTTCTTTTTTGGCACAGAGAACACAACATCCCTTACTTCCATAAACAATCCGAAAAGTTAACTCGTCAGACCTCAATACACGTTTCCACCAAGAATCAGTCCATTTCAGATGAGCACAAGCCCAGAGAAGTTGGTGGTGTTTCTGGATGCTGTCGACATATGACTTCTGCTGTGCTTAATACAGTGTTATCTTACATTTGTGAATGCAGCAATGAACAGTGTTTATTGACAACGATGTGTCGAAGTATTTATTTAAGCTGCATTCCTTTCCACAGGTTCCCTAGGCAGTACTGTTATGTTCCTTACACACTTGAGCACAGGATGGAATCACCCTTAAAATGTCTGAATACCCTGTGCAGTAGACTTTGCAGGGAACTACAAAGGTGATTGGAATGCATCTGTGGTTTAAATCTGAAGGGTCAAAAGCCACAGACATTAATTTGTAGTTTTCAGCCTGTTCCCTTTACATGTAGAGATGTGAGATTTCTCTTTAATCTTTTTATTATATTATGCACTGTAGAGGGTGAAATACTTAAAATCCATTCAATCCCATTCTAGCATTAATTTCAGAATGAGTGTATATTTATAAAAAACAATGAAGTTGGTAAGGTAAAACATTACATTGCTTGTCTTTGTATTGTTTTGTTCAAACGGGGAGACAGTTTGTGAAATGCTAATGAAAAAGACAGCAGTGATTGGCAAATTTTGTTTGTATTAAGTTGAAAACAGTACAAAAACACCTTTTACCTTATGAACTTTATCATTTTTGAAAAAATTCACTCACTCAAAATATGATCTCTGCAACATGCACAAATCATGTGCTGATGATCTGTACTTAGTGATGCAGCACTGGACAGGCCATCCTTACAGACTACATGCTTCAGAACTCGGCAGCCCCACTCTGTGAGTTTGCGTGGTCTACCACTATGTGGCTGAGCTGTTGCTGCTCCAAAACACATCCATTTCACAATAACAGCACTTACGGTTAACCGAGGCAGATCTAGCAGGGCAGCAGTTTAATGAATTGACTTGTGGCAAGAGTGGTATCCTATGTCCTATGAACTACTAGAAGGTACTAGAGTATCTGCAAAGAAATTGTGTATTGTCCTTCTTTGGTCCTCTATAGATCCACACTATATGCATCTTTTAAACTGTAGCATTTATTTCTTATCACTGTTGTCTTTTGTCCATTATCTTTTTATTGGAATGTCAAATACACATTGGTTAACAAAAGACACTTCATTAGATAATGAATGAAAATCAGAGGAGGAATAAGTATTGTTCGACTCTTTAAATATAGACAATTCTGAATATTCAGTCACTGTAATTCGTTAAATACCATAAAAGTGAACAATTAAATAAGCATAATTATACAGTCATAAATTCTTAACACAGCTTTATGGTTTAATCATAGCGTTACATCCATATCCTAATGTTAGCATAGCTTTACAGTCATGTACTAACGTTAGCGTAGCTTTACAGTCATATCCTAATGTTAGTATAACTTTACAGTCGTATCCTAATTTAAGTATAGCTTTACAGTCGTATCCTAATGTTAGTGTAACTTTACAGTTGTATCCTAATGTTAGTGTAGCTTTACAGTCGTATCCTAATGTTAGTGTAACTTTACAGTTGTATCCTAATGTTAGTATAGCTTTACAGTCGTATCCTAATGTAAGTATAGCTTTACAGTTGTATCCTAATGTTAGTGTAACTTTACAGTCGTATCCTAATGTTAGTATAGCTTTACAGTCGTATCCTAATGTTAGTATAGCTTTACAGTCGTATCCTAATGTTAGTATAGCTTTACAGTCGTATCCTAATCTTATTCTAAATTAATATGTGATGTTTTTATTTTTAGGAAGATGGAATTCAAAGAATATTTCTCTGCCAAATTTAGGTAAGACTTTTCTCTGTTATCCTTAAATCCTACAAATCATTCAGAGGAAGCATCTCAGATTTCTTTCATTCTTTCAGGAAAGGTAGCAGTGTATATATTATTGCAAACATTTTGGCCTGTAGATTATGAGCTATAGACAAAAATTAGCATGACTTTATTTTTATGCCTTAAGATGCTAAAGGAAAAGATACAAACTTTATGTTTGAACTATTAACACTAGAAGTCGAAAGCCGAAGTTACAGAGATATTTTGTCGCTGTTTAACGGCTTTCAGAAACATTTTTTCTGCTTTGGACCAACTTTGGTTCTCTTTACCTCCACACTGAAGCTCATCATATATTTTAAATTTTGTTTGTTTCTCATATCACTATAGTGCACTGTAAACAAATGGCTGATCAGATCAACCTAAAAAATGACTTCATGATAGTAACAAGCAATTGAACTAAACTAGTTAATTTACTTATGAACTATTTTTTTAGGTTGATCTGTCAAACCAAAGTTTACAGTGTAAGTAGTAGTTTTAAAGAGTAATTGTTTCTATTTTTGAGCCATTTACAATAAAAACAAGATGCCTACATTTCAAATGCTTACAGGTCATCTCTGACAGCGGTAGCGCTGACTTAATGTGATGCGTGATGCAATAAAGAAGACAGGATAGTATTGATATCAGATTACAAGCTAAATACAACTCAATGACAAGTTAAATTAATAAACATGTTATAATAACTCACTGGCAGCAGAGTTGGCCGGTTGCTACTGTAATTAATATTTATAGCACTCATACAGTAATGATTATCTTGTTAGATGAGTGACAGGCCCTTTCTGTTCATTTTACTGTCTGAATAAGAGTAAATGATCTGTAGGAGTCTTTTAGCGCTCGCTTTAAATTCACTCTTTAAATCTCACTTTGTTTTTGCTGAGAATGAACTGAGTTCAGTGTGTGAATGTGGTTTCTTACAGCTTCAGAGGGAAATGACCACTCTGACTCTCAGTGAGATGGTTCAGCAGAGGAGGCCGTTACTGCTACAACACCAGCATTCAGAGAAGAAGATCCCCACAATCTCATAGTCATAGTCAAAGTTCAGCTAAACATCTAATCAAAATGTTACGATCATTTGTTAAAAGCTCCAGAAGTCAGAGTTTAACTGTATCGAGCTGTATTGTATTAAACTCAGTGTGGGAAAGTGAATGTGCTGTTAGCTTGGTGCTAACATGACACTGCAAATCCCACAGAGACTGAATCACATACCAAGTTGAACGTAGCATTATCATAGTAGCGCTAATCAGATACTCATGTAGAAAAGAAAACTAATGATATACGGGGAAAAAAGTGAAAAGTTCATAAACTTGTTATATATTATGCTATACGACACCAGCATTCAGAGATCTTTACAGTCTGTAAAGTCTAAGCTCAGCAAACGTCTAGTTTACTCCCCTCATTACTCCAAATGTAGTTGATCAGTCAAGACACGTTTGTTGGAGCTGATGAAGCTAACAGTTAGCATGGTGCTAACTGCATGTCTAAAGCCTCAGACTGTGGAGATGGTCAGTATCTCTAATAGACTTAATTATGCGGTTTCTGACACTGTACGATACACTTATGTATAAACATGGACTAAAGCACAGACAAAAGTCAGGCTGCTACTACTGTATTAAGCCAGACTTTCACTGTGTGATTTTAGAAATCTTGTTCTTTGGTGACTCAGCCTGTACGTTCGAATCGCTCATCGTGTTCGGCCAAAGCCTGCGATTTATATACTCACACTGTAAGAAAACACTCGGTCTGACTGACATGACTCAACATGACAGTCTGTGTACAACAAAGCTGATTCATACAAAACAACACACTGTGCCTCAGAGTACTGATCAACAACACTGGCTGAATCTCAAACGGCTCCCTGCTCCCTACATACTGCACCACATATACACATATAGTGGCTCCTTCACCCACACAGTGCATCACGTCTAATAAATAGCCTTCTGAGATCCAGCCATGTGTGCACAGTTCCATACTGGACTAACGGGGCACTGTTTTAAAGTCAGATTCAGCCACTGACAAACTGCTACAACAGTTGCTCTGTTCAGATGAGCTTCTAGCAGATTCTGCTTATATACATAACCTTATGTCTCTATATTGTATTCTATATACATCTATATTTTTGTATGAATTAATGTGTGAGGCTTTTTTTCACAGCCCCCCTAGGTTCAAGATATTAACCAGGTAACCATGAAGTACAAACTGGGCAAGCTCTCTACACTATACCAATAAGAGTCCTTGGGCAAGACTCCTAACACTGCCTTCACCTGCCTGTGTAAAATGATCGAACTGTGAGTTGCTCTGGATAAGAGCGTCTGCCAAATGCTGAATTCACTGTTACAAACTCAAAAGTTCTAGTCATTATTTTGGGTAACATGATGCTAAGTTTCAATGCAGTCCAATGCAAATTACCCTGTTATGCCCTAAAGGTCTCACCAATACGCTGATAAAGAAGAACAATCTCATAATCACTGGGAGCAACAAGGTGGTCAGGATAAATACATTCAGACTAAATTCACACGTATAAGCAGTAAAGTAAATCAAAACTCTGCGTGAGCTGTATGGAGTAAAATCACAGCAGAACACAAAGACAGGTTTCTGCAGGAAACAGTAGGAATCTAGTTTAACCACAGTAAGAACCACTGTTTTCTTTTACAGCCCAGATTCAGTTTAGTTTATAGATAATAAACAGGTACATACTGTATAAGACTTTTAGTACTTTATTCCTAACAACCATTCAGGACCTTTTACCCAAAACAATTACACAGTACTGTGGAGCACTCTATATCTAGAACCTGTTGAGTGTTTCAGTGCAATTTAGGTTGTTTGACTTGCAGTTTACCATCATATTACACAAAACGATCATCTAGTACTTAGGAATTTGTACCTCACACTTACCTGATTCATATGTAGAACCCTAAGAGACTGTAAAAGGAGGCCTTACCAATTAGTCTGCATGAATGAATCTGTATTCTGTATATTCTTATTCTTGTGCCAGTAAAACGTTTTATTTTTTATTAAAATTCATGACTAAAAAACAAATTTTGTTGTGTTGGTAATTTCACAAAGGTCCACCCCACACTGTCCTTTAGATTCAGGTCCAGAAACCGTTAAACTGGTAAAGTTTGAAACTGCTGTGTATCAGCATCTGACAGACAGTAATGTGGTATTTTCCACTCTTTGCTGTATTTATGCCAGTGCTACTCTAATGTTATTTCCCTCGACACACAGCAAAGATGTCCTGACCAACACACCTGATTTAGCTCATGAGCTGCTCAATAATCAGTTGATGACCTGGATCAGGGGTTTCAAAGTAGGAATACTTGAAAACATGTGGAGCTGCAGGTCATCAGAAGCAGGTTCATAAACACAGATTTAAACAGCTGCAAAGCTCTCCTAGCTAGCCTTAAATTCGATGAACTGAGGACTCTAAATTGCCCATAGTTCTGAATGTGTGTGTGTTTCCCTTCTTTCCCATTGCATGCTGGGATACATCCCAGTCCTCTCAAACCTTTTCCTCCATGTACTGCTTTTTGTAGTTTCAGTGTCTCAGTGTAGCGTAGGCCTCAGTGTGACTCGCCTCGCTGTATTTTTCTCTTATGCACTCTTCCTTAAGGCACTGACACGACCATATGACGTCTGTGTAAGCTGGCTGTTTGCCATGCTAGTGTGTGTTTGAATGTGTGAGTGGATTGTGGGAGTTTGTGTAAGAATGTGTGTTTTTCTCAGCTCGGTTCACCATCCTCTCTGTACTGTGGATCAGCTTTATTGTGTTTAAAGCACTTTATAAATGGGTCATTCTACAGAAACGTCCACTTTTCTATCTGTCCATAGGAGTCACTGGTGTTACTGATCCTCATTGGTGTTACACATAAGAAAGGAAACACCAGAGACATTTTTAATGAACAATGCATTTTACAAAATGGCTGCTACAGAACATCAAACCACATGTTGTCAATCATGGAATGTCCACTAAAATATGGAATTTAATCCATTTGTATTCTATTTTTTCACAATTACCTCAGAATAAAGTCGGTCACACCAGTGACTTCAGCTAAAAGCTTCATATGAAATCATGAGCTGAATGAGAAAATCTCTGATAACTGAAAGACACAGTGGACTCACCATGTGCTTTTCATCACAGATCCTCAGAAAACAGGGAAAAGGAAGTCAAGTGATGTCATCAGTGTGACTTTTATTTAAAAATAAGAGATTTTTTGTTACGCAGTAACACCAGGGACCCGACTCCTGGGGACAACTTTCATTATATATTTTATAATATTTATTAGGCACTTGTTTGCTTTATGTCATCTAAATCATATATTTCATAGTCATGTATAGATTATTGCAGTTAAAATGTGTTTCTTTTCTTCAAAATATGGCCTCAGCCTTTACACATGACTGTGAGGATGAGCTCTTCTGTGGTGTTTGGAATTGTATATGATTGATTTAAAAACCAATATTGCTAAATTGAGGCTCAAGAAGGTGTAATTGATAAAATAACTTAATGTTTTATTTTAAAATATAAATAAATTGTAAGCCTAACGTTTTTTAAGTGAAATATATCTGTAAATGCTAGGGACACAAAAATGGACGCTTCTGTAGTATGACCCAAATAAAGTTGACCTTACTTGATTTAAGCAAAATAGCAAAAATATCAATAATATTTTTTTTACTCGCACAATTTCCAGAATGTGGAAATCTTATGTTTTATAGCATTGTCATTTTCAGTTTTCTGAACAGCAGATTAAGGCTTGTTCCAGTTTAATGTAACACAACGAACAGAAATTATTTTTAAGCTGTGTTATAATTTTTAAATATTAACCCACTTTTAACCTTTTATTGTCCAGTGGTCATTGTTTTTCCAGCACCACCTGAATTTGAAATTAACTTACTGGTAATCAAGTTTTACCATCATCAAGCAGGAACTGATAGTAAGTCCACTGTTTGTCTTGAGGTTGAGACTTTCAGGCATGTTGCTGCTCTAAAGGACTTAAAGCTCATCATTCTTGCTTCAAAAACTTCCTGCCTGCACTATTGCAATGCCCTGTTTTCCTGATTTTGCCTTTACTCAGTTAACTTTTGTCAGATTCACTGGCATATATGTGCTTTTACTCCCCGTGACACCACTGAGTGGGTGTGGCCAGAGAAGCAATATGCCTGAAAGTTGCAACTTTGAGATTTAATGAAAAATGTCTTCTAAATTTGTATCCAGAATTACAGAGACGGAATGTAAAAGTACACAAAACTATAAAACTGATCAGATTTACCATAAAATTACAAAGAAAACATGTTAAATTGTTAGTATGGACAAAAGTCTTTATATCATGTGCAACATATTTAATTACAGATAATAACTGTCATTTTACATAGATTTCTATGTAATTTAAGCAGAAAAATACTGGGTAAGTGATGTAGTACGTATTCTGTCAAAAAATTGGCGTGATCTTTAAAATAATAGTCTGGTTGTTAAGTTACAGATATTGTCCATAATTTTACATCAATTTGTATGGAATTTTATATAAATACAGCATAAATAATATAGTAATGTTCTGAAAAAATTAGGAAATGAATGTAATGTTCATGATTGGCATAAAACCTGAAATAACAGTTTTGAGTTTTGTATACAATTAAAAAAAACACAGAAAATTACTATAAAAATGACAATTATTGTCCATAAAATTAGGACTTTTTTACAGTGTATATAAACTCAGAAGACTCGTGTAGGTTCACTGGTGGTTCTGGATAGTAAATAAAATGTCTATATTTGTGTTGTAGTCATGGCGACCCCTGGTTCCTATCACCACCACTGTAAAGACATCTGAACCATTTTACACCAAAACCACTCTGAATCCCTCTGTTTACATCTCACGCACTGGATTATGGGGATGTTTTGGATTCCTGCTCAGTGCACTGTGAAGAAGCAGGGAGTCATTTGAGATGAGAGCCCACGTCACAGCATGTTAATCAGATCGAGTGTGAGTCTATAAACCTCGGCCTTCGTCTGTAACGATGGGCGATTCAAACCTGTCACTCGCACAGTTCATACCTGCCGTAAAGGTATTTCCACACCTGGAGCTGAGAGAGAGAGAGAGAGAGAGAGAGAGAGAGAGAGAGAGACTATGATTCACTACAGCAGCAGAACAAACATAGCAAACCCAGTAGTGATGTTAGCCTTGATACTGAAGCTCCAGCACACTTTAATTAGAAGCACAACATCAATGCTTGATTCATGTTCCAGAAACACAACGACTCCTAAAGCTTCATTTGAGCTTGAAGCTGCATGAAGCTCCAGTTCCCTGGATTTACACCAAAGAACCAAAGGTTCTTTAGTAAACAAAACCATAAACACTCAAAGAACTCTTTGCATGATTAAAGCATTCTTTGCTTGGTGAAGTGGTTCTCTGGATCCATGGAGAATGCGCTGTAGATGATTCTTTACAGAACTTTTATATACTACTAAACAGGGTTCTATTATTGCAATATCAAGCTTGTAACAATAAAAGAACCATTTTTGTTGCAGTGTAGAACCATTTTCAAAAATGTTCTATACGCTCCATCAATTTGAAGAACCTTTTCTGATGCAAAGAACCCTTTAATCATGCAAATGGTTCTTTGAGTGTTCATGGTTCTATATAGAACCATTTTCTTTACTAAAGAACCCTTAAAGAACCACCTTTTTTTAAGAGTGTAGGGCAAAGTAAGCTGTATGTGCATAAGGTTGTACATGAGTTTGTTGCTATAAACATCAACTGTAAACTGTTTAAGTGTCTAAAATAAGTTAATTTGGTAACACTTTCTATGAATGTCGCCTTTGTAAGCATCTATAAACACATTTATAACATGTTATAATGTATTCATAAGGCATTATAAACATGGTTATAAATATTTATAAAAAAGAATTACACTGAATTACACTTTATAGCCATGTTTATTATACATTATGAATTGTTTATATAATACATTATAAGTAGTGTTAATAACATGTTATAATGTCAGTGCCAAAGAA